CGTCAACTTATCAATAAACTTTGGATCAATCTTAAAAATGATATGAATGAAAATTTCGGATAATAGGAATAATATCTTCCGGATCGGAAAAAAAACTAAATAATCAATCATTGTCCTAATGAATGAAGTGATAAAAATTTCCATTTTAATTTGAATGAAGATGAAATCATTCTTGTTGATTGTTCATTTTATATTTACATGAAGCTTACAAATAATCTTAATTCAAATATTTAAGTTTAATTTTGGCAAAGTTAAAAGTTTAGCCTCGAAATGTGAAATTAAATTCAAATAATCGATTTTAATGAATTGAATTAAATTTTAATGATTCAATAAATTTTATTGAATTTACTGTTTCACAGTAACAAACTTTGGGTTAATCTTGAAAATGATATGAATGAAAATTCTGAATACGGAATGAACATTTCGAATACGGAATGATATTTTTCGTGCCGGAAAAAAGAAATAATTAATTACCATGTTGATGAAAGAATTGCTAGTTTAAAATTTAAGCAATAAATTTTAAATACAACGATTTGATTAAATTTACAAAGTGGAAATCAAATTTTTTTAAGCTCAATCTTAACCACATGAAATTAAATCCAGAATAATGGATTTAAATTTGAATTATAAAATTTAATTCAAGTTATGGTTTGTGATATTAATTCCAAATTATATTGCTTTTCTTAAGTATATGCAAACAATATAATTTAGAATTTCTTTAGGATTTTTCTTCAGCAATTTAAGAATTTTGAACTGAATTTGAAATATGATAGAGGACATTATTAGTTCTGCGACATTAACTAAGTTTGTGACGTGACTTACGTGAAACTTTTAATTTCCGTAAAACTTTTAATTTTTTTTTAATTTTTAAAACTTTTAATTTAATTTCCGTTATTTTTATGAATGAATTTGTTTCGTTGCTTTATGCTGTGGAAATGCATACGTGCAATATATCATTTATGAGGAAGTGCTACGTGCAAAATGTAAAGTCGATAACAGCCATAGTAAAATTAGCTTGGAATGGATCCAAAATGGATACGCACACAAGGATGGATTACGTTGATGCGCTTTAAAAAAACTAACGTACGTGGGAACAAGCGGCTGCGTAAAATCGAGGTGTTAGATCTAAGTTAAAATTCTTTGGTAGTATATTTGAAATTACTCAATTACGACTTGAAAATTTAATTCCAAACTCAGTAAGCTGTGCTAAAATGCAAATTCAGTTTGGAATTAATTACTTAAATTTGGTTTAAACCAATTTGATCGAAATTAAATGCCTAACTGGTGATGCATTATTGGTCATAAATTATGCTAAATATTTTTATTTTGGAATTAGCATTCCATTTCGGTTGACAATCTATTTAATTTCAAATTATTTGAATTTACGTTTGAAGTGATAAATGTAATGGCAGATCTATATTTAAATGTAGATTTGAAATTATTTCTGGGTCATCGGTCTATAATTAGTTAACGAATTTAAGTTGAAATTATTAAATTATGGATGGCACTAAGAGAAGGAAGTTATTCAGCAGTAACACTATAAGAAAAAGGACAATTTACATTTCAGTAATTGAATTATTCAGCAGTAACACTATAAGAAAAAGGACAATTTACATTTCAGTAATTGAATTTCTATGAATTTCGAAATTTGTATTTTAGTATATTATATTTTGATACGTAACATTTCCGAGTTTATGTTTTGGCATATTGTCTTTTCAGGATTTATATTTCCGGATTTTTGGCTGAATCGGATGGAGATAATACAAAAAAAGCGATCGAGAAAAGGCTTGAATGTAAATTAATATTTTTTTACATACTATGGTTACCAGAAACGAACGTAGAAGCAAGCTTTCTTGTATTACTTATATATTGGGTAGTTTACGTGATCGGATATGAGCAAAAAAGAGATTCTTTCTAATATAATTTTATCATTGTGGATTTTTTGATATATACGTTTTAAAAATTACATGGTAATTTGTTTCAGTGGGAAGCAACATTTCCGGATGAACCGGTTGGCGAGAAATCACGATCATTTCTACAACGTGTCGTATTCATTACTGCATCACATATCCTTTATACCAGAGGTTTACTTCCTGCAAAATGCTTTAAGAAACGGCAGATTGAAAGTATGTAAATTTCTTTTTCCAATTCGGTTGAAGCATAATTCTTGGCATTTTCTATCATTAAGTAATAATGATTTGACTATTGAATGTTGATGACAATATGAATGGGATAAAACTGTAGATAATAATAATAATACGATTCTGAATAGCGATAACAAATGATGATCATTTGAATATATAATGCTTAAATTAGGATGTATCGTTAATATCGTTTATTGATTGCATCAAAAAGTGTATATTGATGAATTTTCCAAATAAAGATGGAAAATATGTAGTTTATTTTTTCAATTGGCGAAAAGATGGCTAGATGGAATTCAATGCAGAGATGTAAATATGCTTGTCTCGCGATCTAGTATATTTTGTGACCCCTATTTTACGATATTGGTAACTTGGCTAGAATTTTTAGAATGGAAGTTTTATATTGTTCGAGCAGAAGCTGAAGGGAAAGATGTTGTTCACAGTCTTAGAGGTGTTATGGAAGCGATTGAATTTGCATATGTAAGTTTTTGCTCTTTTATTTAAATTCAACAAGTTACATTATGTTGTAAATTCTTTTTACTGCACTTAAAGATTTTCTTGTCGACAAAAGAATTTGCACTTTTGGATGATGTACATTATGCTGTTACACTAAAAAACATACACCTGGTTCTTTTTTTATTTTATGAATTGAAAAATCATCTTTAGCTAAAAATTTACTCTTCAGGTATAATGTTCAATAATATCTATTCAAAAATTTAAACACTGTATCTGAAATCCAATGTAAAAATTAAAAGTGCAAATTTTCGATTCAGCATTTTGTGCAGAACACAATCCAACACTAATCCTTGCCCTTTTTACCCCCTCTCGGAGCGAAATAAACGGATGACATTGAAAGAGTTATCTAGTCATCTAGTGTTATCTAGTCATTCATTTTACCCCACGTTATTCCATAGATTAAATGGAAGAGTAACAACATTGATTAAAAATGAGTCTAATTTTGAAAATGAAACCGAAATCTTTATCGAAATTTCTAGTTGCGTGATTTCATCATAATGATTGCTGATCGTGATAGAAAAGATGAATATGAAGCTTTGGAAATTCACCGAATGTCATTTTTTTATGAATCGAATGAACCAAAAATGATCCTTACAAGGGAAGTGATACCTTATACATTGAATAAGTTTTGTCTTGAACTACCTGTAGATGAATTTACCGATAAAAAATGTGCTACAACGCTTGCCTTACTTCATTAACACGCAGGTATCATGTTTGTTTCGGTTTTTAAAAACACCAATGATTTTCATTTTTCTTTTGCAGCACAAAAGGTGAAAAGGTCGCTACTATCAAATACACAGGAATTATGCAAGCGCGCAAACAGTTCTTCCATTTGATCCATCGAGTCAATATATATGGAAGTGTTATGGGCCCATTACCACAGAACATCTGCACTATCTTTAAACTTACGTATTATGACGAAAGTAATATTTTTTAAGATAAATTTTTTTATTTACAATGCAACTTGTTCATGTACTTTGCACAGATACAGAGAACAATCCTGAATGTCAGTAATTAATACGACTCACACTTTCAGAAACTCCCTCAAATTATGAACCACAAGGTTTTATGGCTGATGAAGATCTATTCCATTTTCCGAAGGAAGTCGAACCGTTGATGCTTGGTAGATTCGACTGTGAAAAGCACATGTATATCTTTTTTTTCTTTACGGACAATTAGAAGACCGTTCAAAGCAGCTTTTTAAGTACACCTGAGTTAAAAATTCGATTAGATGCACAATATGAATTATGCAAGCTTCTACTTCTTATCAGGTTTATAATAATACCTTAAAAATGATCTTTAAATAGAAGGATATATTAAGGAAAAGAAAATTTCATGTTAGTCAGCTAACATCGGATTTCTCGAACTACCGGCCACTTGCTTTCTGAGCAGATTAAAACAGTGATTTGCATCACTTCTTTTTTACACTTTCGACTCATGGGAGTGCACTGTACCGCACGCTTGGATTTTGGGGATCGTGCACAACTCATAGTTAAACAAACTTTAATGAAGCCCTGCGTTGGCTTGTTGAACAGTCTCATTTAGAAACTAATTTATTTAGGGTTACAACATCAGTTCACTCGATTTTCATGAAAAGCATAAATGAAATGAAATCATTGATGAATGCCGATGCCACTGAATCTAGCCCATCGATTTCTCGTGATACCACGATTTACTCTTCACCAACTAAAACTTTGCAAATGCTATCAACATGTATCGATGAGTTCTCTCAAATTCAAGTAAACCATCAAACTTATTTTTGTTTTGACTCTTGCAAAATTTTCCCTGAAGTTGAAGGGAAGCTTTTATTTTAATCAAATTTCTATTTTCTCACTACAGGCAGAAGATATTGAGCAGCAGAATGATCAGATGAGAAGCGCTGAATTAACAACATCATCCTCATGCATTGACATCAGTGCCACGCTAAAAATTACGAAAATTTGTCGCACACTTCCACGTATATGCCATAAGGCTAACTGTAATAATACTAATTAAAGACTTGTTAAATCAATATAGGTTACACAGGAGCAGAATTGCTTAGTAGCGATTAAAAGGACAAGTTAACCGAGGAATAATACCAGTATTTGGTTAACTAGAATTAGATAGTGCAAACCACTAATGAACTGTTTAATGTTTGGATGATTATTTGTCATCGATAATTTCAAGATTGTAAACAAAGCACAATAAAATTGTGAGACAAAGACAACTGATAGTTTATAATTCAAATCCCTTTTCTAAATTTTGGATGAATCAGAGAAATTTTAATTTCAGCTAAGTCGAGCATCTTGGAAAGGTCGAAATCATCAACCGAAACGCATTTTTGTAAAGATGGAACAATAGGACGTGGGAGATCCGGATACGGAAGGTGTGTCGTGCTTTACTTTAATAAGCAGCAGTTATTCATTTCTTGATTGATATAAACCTGATTTTCACTGCCGGAAAGCATTTATAAGAATCATATTGAAAATTAATAAATGATCATTTCTTTCAATGAGAAGAATATACAACAGTTGGAAAAAGTTGAAATAAGATTCGAATTAACTCAAATGTACGCAATTACGGGAACCTGTAGCTGCCGTAATTACTTGAAAGTAACTTTTCTACTAGATGCCCTTGTTCGTAACTGCTGACTACCAGAACTGTCCCAATATTCAGTGTATTGCCACTTCCAAAGGACGAAATAGTGCATGGGAAATGATTTATTATCTGCCTTTCGGGAAAAAATCATTTTTTTTTTGCCGTTAGAATCAGTTATAGATTAGCCACTGCCATTGATGAAAATTATAGTAAATCTTCTAGTAAGTTGTACAGAAATAAAACGAGTCATCCAGTAGCCCAAAAGTGTGTTTCAGGCGTAAGATGGGTAGCGCTAGCTGCAGAGTATCAGTTAGTGACGACGAGAGATGAGAAAACAAGAAAGGCGAAGACGAAGCTTTTCTTGTGGAAATGGAGTGAAAGCTTTATTGCTTAGTATATCCTGTGAACATCTTGCATTTGGAAAATTATCTTTTATTTTTATTTTTGTGTCGGACTATATTATCATCATCTATTTCAATGAAATTTATTAAATGTCAAAAGCAGATGAGAGAGATTTTGTTGTTTTCATGAAGACGGAACTGAATAATATTTCTAATAGTTAAAAAAGTAACAATTAACATGAACATTCAAACAGAAGCATTATCAAGAGGTAAGTTACGGCCAGAAGTAACAACCTTACATTTCAACAATCTTGATTGCTGCTGTATTTATTGATTGTTTCTGCACACCTGCTATTGTTTCCGTTGTTTGTTCTTTTCTCTTTACTGATATTGGATTTTTCATTTACTATAAGAAGTTGTTTTTACTCAAAATTAGTGTTTGCAAGTGTCCCTCTAATGTTGAGGAATTAGTTGGTTGAACAGTGAACAGGTGTGTTAATGGTAAAGTTATTTGTAGTTGATATAACAGTTCAAGTCAGAAATCCGAATATAATTCCGATATTTGAATAGAATGGTAGTAATAAAGATTAGAAGGCCTGACACAGTAGGAGGATGTTGATAATCGTAAATGAGAAATAAGTCTCCCCGTTTCTAAAGCTTATATAGTGAGTGTGTTTATAAATACAAATAGGTGCATATAAGATCTTCACAATGTTTCAACAGCAGCGTATAAGTAATTTATATATAAGGTAGGTAAGAAGTTACATTTGAATTAATTTGTCGGATGTGTATGACGTCCATAACATCAGATTTATTATAAAATTAGAACATTTTCACATGATTTGAAGATTAGATAAATGACTCATCACTTTAGGCGCAGAAAAACATTTTTGTTTTTTGTGTGATGTAATGAAACCTATCTGGGTATGCTAAAACTTTTATGCTAGAATTCTGCAACATAAATACTTGCCTTGTTTTAGCATGTCACACATCCTCTCAATTCTCCGACACTTCGACATTCCAATCTAATACCTTCCCCACGTAACTCAACGTATACCACGTGAACACAACAGTGCAATTGACGCACTCGCGGAGTGCAACCTGCACAATCCACTGTTCGAACTTTGTAAGGCTATACTTCGGCGTACGGTTTTTTGCTTTGACAATTTTTGATTTTCTGAATTGAAGTATTAGAACTCGTTAGGCGACAAATTAGTTGGGACACTAATTAGGCGCATAGCCCTGAGATGTACTTTTAGAGACAGATGCATGACCTGTGGAGTACTTTTAGTGATGGAAACGGTGAATAATATTAAAAAATGCGTATAATGCTGAGGTTTGATTTTTAACGCTGAAATGGTGAGATCTGATTTATAACAAATTGATTCTGACGTTGAAATGTGCTTGCATTCAGCATGTCGAATTGAAACGTGTACGTAATAATGGAATCTGATGCTCAATAATCAGATTTACAGTTTGAAGAGGTATGTATGATAGCGCCTTATGCAATATTAGCATTATCTATATGAAGAGGATTGTATTGGTATAAATACTAAACCTAGACTAAGTCAGTTTAATTAAGATTTAAATCTTCTAAAAAAGGGAAGCTTATTCAGTTGCTTATATCCAGCTTATATTTTAGCGCATATCCAGTTACGCTCTGCCTATTGCAGATTACATGTGTAAATTTGTATAAAACGTTACTGAATTATGGGTAATTTATTCGGTAAACGACTGCCAGCTCTACCGCCGGTATCACAACAGGATCAAGCCATTTTGGTTAATTTTCTTTGTTTGACGTTTTAATTTATCTGAAAATATGGATTAGATTAGATGTGCGGTTATCCATTCATATTTTTGTATGAAAATATGCAAACTCAGATTCTTATTTGTTGTAATTATCTTATTTAACAGAGTTAGAGACGGAAATTCTTTGTTTTTTCCAGGATTCATTGAGTTAAACTCTCAGGTGAATTTCCGAAAACCCAATTTTTTAAATATCATTGGCTGTTTTCCGGATGCAGTTCCTGTTATCCGGAACCCATCGATTTTAATATTTGTAAGAAAATTCATAAAACGGTTCCATGAAATTGATTTTACTTTCATGTTTCATGTAATTCATGAAACATGTTTTATAAAATACATTTTGCAAGGGGTATAACAGTTTTCGAATTTTCATGAAATTCATTTACGGAGGAGATAACAGTTCCATTGTTTTAACTTTGGTTATCCCGGCTTACTCTTTTTCAACTTCCCTTTCGAGATTAGTTAAATTCTGTGGAGTTAGTGGACGATTTTTCTATGGGATCCATAGTCTATAACAGAAGTATAATCCGTAAATGGGAAGCTTGCTACTGTTTTCCATTATCTTCCTTTAAAACTAGAATATAATTTGTAGCAATTGAAAAGTCAAAGGGACAAAATGAAACAATATATAAGAAGGAATGAGAAACAAATGGAACGTGAGAAGGAACTGGCGAAACAACTAATAAAAGCCAACAAAAAAGAGTAAATTTTTCATCTTTTGTATGTTTTTCATCCGTATTTTTAAGCTGTTATCTAATTACTCCGCTTGTACACCACAAAATTCTTTCTTTTCATATGTCATCACATTCCAAACTGGGCAATCGTACGTTTAGAATTGTTATACCAAATTTACTCCTAAGAAACTACAATTTCATTCCATGCTCACTTACAGACACACGTTACCTTATCACTATGCACGTAAACTTAGTATTATCTTGAAAGTTAACCGATGATTGCTTCCACTTCTAATTTACTTTTCGAAAACTGGTACTAGTATCTTGTTTTCAGTCGTGCCTTGTTAATTTTAAAGAGGAAAAGATATCAAGAATCAGTGACGGAAAAACTGTTGCAGCAGTTGGATCAGATTGAAAGAATGGTATTTGTTTTCTAATATTTTGACATTTGCTAAGACTTTATAACTTTGTTATTGTAAGAGGCATAGAATTTGCAAATAATTTGTAACTTAAAATCAAAGTGAGTTTGCATCAATTTCCCAACAGTCACTAAAAAAAAATGTAA